ATGATCTTGTACCTTGTTATGAGAGTTAATCCAGAGGATTTAAAAATAGCCTTTATGTCTCTTTAAGAAACAGAGTTTCCTTTCTACTCTTGTGTCCAGTCTTAGAGGGAATAAGAGGTGACCTGACTCAGGTTCTCTGAGGTTCCTCTTTCTACATGCAAAATGAGCCATATGCAGCGGAGGAGCACAGACTCTTCAATGGGAATCCTGCCTCTGACAGGAATGATGTGGCCTCTGTGCAGAGTCAGATGGCCTGGTGACCCCAGCACCTGAAGCCTCAAGGAGGCAGTGGTGTGTCAATATCCTAGGAAGGGAGGAGCTTTGGACTTGTGGGTGGGTCTCTTTTTGCTAGACCACTCGTGGTCTCTGCCCATTCTCCTCTCCTCTCTTCTCAGCTATGTGGACATGGTGCTCCTCTTACGGAGTGACTGATGGCTCTGATTTGCTGTGGGGGGGGTACACTCACCGTTGTTGTCTTGGCTCCAGTCCAAACCTGAGAGCAGACAGACGGTGCCTGGCCGGACATTGCTGGTGGCGAGGGGAAGGGGCTGGACTTTGTTATTGAGTCTGGCAGGTTTTGCCAACTTAATGAGCATGAGGTCATCCTGGGGGTTGCTATGGCTAGAGTTCCAGTAGCGGATAATCTGGATGGGGTTAATTGCCTGCTCTGTGCCATCTCTGACTCTGATCCTGAAATTTCCCAGCATCACTTTCAGGTTTCTGGAGGGAGAAGGGGTTGGAAGTAATCACTGTCACCATCACCGTCATCATCATGATCATTGTCATCATTATCATTGTGTCGTCAAAGATGATATCGGATGTTACAATGTGTCAGGTACTGTGCCAGTTGCTTTATCTGGAGTCTGGATTACCTCATTCACTACTCACCACGAAACTATGAAGTGGATTCTATTTTTCATCCATTTTACAAGTGAAGTAATGGAGGCACATAGTAGTAATTCACCCATGGTCGCACAGTAAAGGGGGAGCCTTTAACCACTGTGTTTTCATGTAGTATCCTTAATGTAGTAGAGAGGACAATTGTGCGTGGCATAGAACTATTACTTTCCCTCCGCTCCAGCTCCAGCCTATCCAACTGGGCATTTGCATTCTGGTGGACATAAAAGAATGGGATGACTGGAGTGTTGGAGCTTTGTTTGCTTCACCAGATCCACTCACAACCCTACTTCATCCTGCTCTCTACCTTTGGGAGGTGATATGTGTAGATTAAATCAATGGATTCTCCTGTCCTCTGTTCTCTGATTAGGTTTTGTTGATAGCAAGCACCAGGCAGTAATGGGAGGGAGAATGAGTTTGGAGTATTTATCCTCCCAGCTACCTTCCCACAGGGTTGCCACTCTGGGCTTCCTATCAGGCCATCCCTCCACACAGTGCTTCCTCCCTTCCTCTCTCTCTCTCCTCCCCACCCTTCCCCACTCCCCTTCTTGTAACCATTCTCTCCTCTTGCCCCCTTAGGCCTAGGGGTAGTAACTGTACCTTTCCAATACTAATCCTGGGAGCACTGAACTATTGTTTGTCCAATTTGAGTGCACCCTCAGTTACCTGCTGGTCCCTTAAGTGATAAGACACATTCATATTGTCAGTAAAAAACTTGAAAGAACTGAGGAGGCATGCTCTGTGGAGCGGGTTTCCTCACTACTGATATTTGGGGCTGGGTGATTGTTGTGGGGGCTGGCCTGCACACTGTGGAATGTTCAGTGGCCTCCTTGCTGTGGTCTCTATTTGCTACATAGATGCCAAGAGCACAGCACCCCCTCAGTGCATTGTGACAAACCGAAAATATCTTCAGACTTTGCCACATGTACCCTGAAAGGGAAAGTTGCCTCCATTTGAGAACCACTGATGTAGAATGAATCACAGCTGCTTCCGGCGGTGGGCGGGGGGAGGGTTCCCAGCACTCACGGTAAGTAGCAGTGAGCTGGAGCTAGCACCCAGCTGTTTTTGATGAGGACACCCACGCAGGGGTTGAAGTGAGACTTGAGGTATACCAGATAGGGAGCATGGTCTTCTTTCTGCACAGAGGAGTGAGCAGAGAAAAGTGTCCCTGGGAAAATAATCAGTATTCTTAATATATAGAACATTCTTAATAGTAGGTAAGACATGTCTTAAGACAAATAAGACAATCAGCAGTTTCCTAGTTGAAAAAGAATATGAGCAATTTTAAAGAAGTAATCGACTGGCCAGGAAATGTGAAAATGTTTGACCCTCTTTTTCTAATAAAAATGACATACCATTTTATCTAATATTTATAATACTTTTTGGTTTAATGTTGATACTATTAAAATCTAAGAAAGTACAATGGAAGAGACTCTCTTTCACTACATGTAGGGACATGAATTAATTCTGTCAGTTTGAAAAACATTTAGAAATAGGCATCAAGAGTGTAAATAGTGCATCACTTATGACCTAATAATTCCAACCCCAAGAATCCATTCTAAAGAAATATTTAAGTGTAGACAAAGATTATGAATGTGTGCTCATTTTAGCACTATTTATAATAGCTAAACATTAAAAATATAAATGTCCAATATAGTAACGTAGGGCACTGAAATGAAAAAGTACATCAACATATGGAACATCACATATATTAAAATTATATTTATAAAGAATATTAAACAACAAAGGAAATACTGATAAACTTTCATTAAGTTAACAATAATAATAAATATGTACATTAATCCAGTAATCCAATTGTCTAAAAACAAGCAAAGGAAAAAATAAATCATTTAAATGCAAAAGTAAATAAAATAAAGCCTGGGAGTAAATTTAAAGTGTTAGCATGTGTTGACTAAGAGGTGGGATTATGAACAATGTTTCTTTTTTTCTACTTTTTAATATTTCCAAATTTTTAATATGAACATATAGTGAATTATTAAAAAAACACGTGAGAAGATAGGGAGGAAGGCTGCTTGTAGTGTCAGAAATAAAGTACTGTTCTTGTTTTGGCTGTCTTTGGTTCTTCCATTAATCCTTCCCAAGCCTTGGCCTATACCTCTCCACACCCTTTATGATCACATAGAAATCCCAAAGGGAAAAAAGTGGCCTATTAGTAAGGACAGGAGGCACTGAGCTCTTGTTCTAAGTGCTTTCCATGGGTTTATTTAACATTTTCACAACATCTCTATAATATAGGGAGTAATATCCCCATTTTGACAAAAGAAACTGAGGCAATTAAGATGGCTTAATTAATTTGTCCAAGCCCACAGTCAGGAAGTGGTGGGAAATGCCTCACCAGCAAATTCTGCCATCAGAAGGACTTCTTGGAAGTCAGGGAGCGAGGGAGGTAGGTCCTTGCATTTGATCTTATTTCTAGCTTCTTCACTCCCTGCCTTCTGAGTCTCTTAACTTTTGGAACAGGGGGGATATCAGACTTCAAAATGAGTTCTCTTTCCCTGTGACTACACTGGGACCTGCTCTGTGGGTGATGAGACCCACATTTTGGAATCACCACAGGGAACACTCATTGTTGAGCATTCTCCAAGGCAAGTGAGCACCATCACCTGCTCTGTAGCTTAGCACTGGAAGAGTGGGCTCAGCCTCCTGAGAGCCTTTGGGCGGGGTCTAGGAGGGGAGATACCTAGTTCTGTCCATGACTGGTTTTCTTAGGCTCTTCTTTTGTACCCTCCACACACCCCAGTCTGCCTTACTCCAGCCTATATTAACCTGTGCCTTATAGGACAGAGTAGAAGGTCATGGATACATACCAGCAAGGACACCCAAATAGAAGATAAATTTCATAGCAGTCCAGGTTTTTCCCTGTGAGATGCAGAAGATCAGCAGAGTATGAAACTCTCAGGACAGTGTTCTCCTCAGGAATGCCTGGTAGAATCAGTGGATATGGTTAGGTACAGTTAGGACATGAAATGGGATTGGAAAACAGCTCTGGGCAAAAACAGGGGGGAGGAAGAGGGCTCCAGGTAGACAGATGAAGGCCCTTCTGCTCCAGGGAAGATGGACTGTGCCTCTCTTGGGTCTTTCAGGGAAGGACAAAAAAAGCCTAGTTTCTTAGACTTCCAGATCCAGGTCCCTCTACCTGCTGTCCCTAAAAGCCCATCTGCCTCAACCAGCTATCTGTGGGAAAGGGAGCTCTCGGCTCAGGACTTAATCTTCCATATGGAGTTTCTGAGGCCAGGGCTGTGGGGGATAAGATTCGCCACCTTAGCTCAGGCGGGGTCCCCGGGTTTGCTCTGAACCCCCTAACACTTGTCCTTTTCCTTAGCCCCTCCCATCTTTATTACACTTCCTTCATCTTTCCCTGTGATCACTGTTTGTTTCATCACTCAGCCATCATCACCAACTTGTTCTGTTGTCCTGATCACCAGCTTGAGCTAAGGACATGTGGAAATGAAAAGCACTCATAGAACAGTTATTTTGACAGTTGGGGAATGGTCTATATCCGAGGTTATATTAAATTTAGGACCTACTGTGTATTGGTAACAATTTAGAAGGCAGGACCTGTCAGGGCTTTTTACCTAATGAAAAGATTTCTCAGCCAATAATAAACTGCTAGGGTCATCCTTGGATAATTCAGAGCACACTCTAACAAGAACACTTTCACTAATAGCACTTAACCAAATCCCAGGCACTGAGCTAAATTCTTTATACGTGCTGCCAGTGGTGATTTTATACCAGGTCAGTTGAAATGTAAAATTAATTATACTTTGTATCACTCTAGCCCTTCAAAGTCTCTTAAGCCCATAATCTCATTCCAGTGGCACAACAAGCCTACAAAGAGGAGACAAGGCTGGTATCATTTGTTTCTTGATCTGTAGATAACAGAACTGAAACAGAATTCACATCAGTGTTTCAAAATCACACATGATTAGGAAGACTAGAAATAGAATCTCGGTCTTATTATTGGAGACACATAGCTTTTCAACCATGTCCTCCAGGCTTCAGCTAATCAACTGGCATTCCTAGATCTTGAAAAAATACATTTCCTCACACAAATTCCCTGAAGTGTGAAAAGAAAAAGAGACATGGTGCATACTTTCCTGTCCCTCGCAGTGAACACAGAGGTCCACTGGGGAGTAGGGCTGGCTTACAAAATGTGTTTGAAGTTCAAAGACAGGATGGAGCTGTGGAAGGTTTTCTGTGGTGAGGGTAGGATTAGTTAACAGAGGTGAAACCTGAGAGAGAGATATTCTTTACTCTGAGGTTGTTGGGCCTAGATTTCTTTGAAAAGCTTATGGCCCAGGAGGGGAGTTTGAGGCCTTTCCAAAGACAACAGATTTTCTGGAGTAGGCTGGTACTGGGGACTACTACCTGTCTATGAGTTTCAAATTAGTATCTCCAACCCAGACTTCCTGTCCCACATATAGAACTGCCTCCTAGACACCATTTTTTAATAAAGATTTTATTTATTTATTTGACAGAGAGAGAACACAAGCAGGGGAAGTGGGAGAAGGAGAAGCAGACTTCCCACTGAGAAGGGAACCCGATGTGGGGCTCGATTCCAGGACCCTGGGATCATGACCTGAGCGGAAGGCAGAGGCTTAATGACTGAGCCACCCAGGCACCCCCTCCTAGAAACCATTTTTTTGCATCTGCTTTAGGGTTCCTGAAATTTAGCATGTCAGAATTTTACTCTTTCTTCCTCCAGCTTTTCAAGTGCATTCTTTTGCCTGTTTTTCTTATTTTTAGGAGATAATTCTACCACTTGTTTGATTTCTCTCTGTTTCTCACCACTCAACCTCAAACCATCCTACTTCCAGAACTGTCTTAAATCCATCCTTATCTGTCCGTTCTCACTGCTGTCATCCTAATTCAGGCCATAATCTTGTCATGCTTGAAACTAATATATGTGCCCATCTGGTGTTGCTCAACTTGACATTCTCCTTTTTATTTAGAATTGTTATTTTTCCTTCTAAAATGCTTATGAAATCATGTCAGTGTCCTTTTAAAAACTCTTCAGTAGTTCCCTATTGTCTGTAGAGTAAACCCCTAGTATGCTTTAGGGGCCTCCGTTGATTTTCATCCCATCTTGTCCTCATAACCCTGTCTCCTCAGCTTCGCTCCCTCCCACCCCCCCTGCCCCACACACTTTTCTTCAGGCCTAGCAAACTACTTTCAAGTGTGGGGTTTCTTGTTTAAATACTAATACCTTTTTATATTACCTTAGCTTTTGAGTGCTTCCTGTAGTTTGCCAATCCAATTTCTTTTTTCCTTTTTTTCTTAAAGATTTATTTATTTGAGGGGCGCCTGGGTGGCTCAATCGGTTAAGCAGCTGCCTTCAGCTCAGGTCATGATCTCAGGCTCCTGGGATCCAGCCCCGTGTTGGGCTCCCTGCTCAGCAGGGAGTCTGCTTCTCCCTTTCTATGCTCTCTCTCCCTCTCCCTCTGTGCTCTCCCTCTCTTTCAAATAAATAAATAAAATCTTTTTTAAAAAAATAGATTTATTTGAGAGAAAGACAGAGAGAGAGAGCAGGGGGAGGGGCAGAGGGAGAGAGAGAATCCTTAAGCACACTCCCCTGCTGAGCATGGAGCCCATCTCAGGGCTCGATCCCACGACCCTGAGATCATGACCTGAGCCGAAATCAAGAGTTGGCCACTCAACAACTGAGCCATCCAGGTGCTCCAATTGTTCTCTTTTAGGATACTGATATCTGATATGGACATCATTCTTAAAGCTGTTCTTTTCTGTTTGAAAAAATAGCTTTAGAATTCTATGGTTGGATGGATGTGTGTGTGTGTGTGTGTGTGTGTGTGTGTATGATACTCAACATTTCCTCATGTTTGTAATTTTTTCGTTATTAAGTTCTTTATTAGTGTTATTACAGATTCCTTGTACACATGGAAACACATCTGCTTCTAGCCTCATTCCACAAACCATCAGGTTTATAGAGACTCTAATTCTATTATTGTTTCATTCTGTCATCTAACTGATTTTCTATTTAGGTAATATTCTTGTTATATTCTGCCACCAAAAATCAATTTGAAAAAAGCAGCTACAGAGAAAGGATAGAATGAGAGAGAGAGAGAGAGAGAGAGAGAACTGCATATGGGAGGTCAGTGTAGTAAGCACAGATTTGGAGCTCTGACAGGAGCCACTCACGCTGGTGTTGGTTGGGAGCTTTTGTTGAAATGGTGTCTGTAGTTATAAGACGTGACCTGTACAAGCGAAGCAGTTCTGAGGATGGGTGGGCGAGGCACTACCTGCATAAAAGGGAGGGGGGCAGTGTCACACAGGAGGGTGGGACACAGCTGTGCTTCATCAGACTAGCCCAGAGAGGAGAGGGGTCAGTGGACATGTAGAGGGAGGGGTGCTAGTCACACATTGTGGGGGAGGAACTGGGGAAAAGAACTGGGAGGCTAGGGGAGGCACTTGGGATGACTTTTAACTCACAGAAGGTTCACTTGACTCCTGCTTTGGAATCCTTTTCCCTAGAGGGGGCAGATAGAGCTCAGACCCGTGGACCTCACCTTCCCATAGGGCAGGCTTCAGTTAGACTGAGAAGGTCTCTGTGCCAGCCGACAGGTGCGCAGCTGTGACCGGTGAGCCGCTTTCACGCCAAGGACCAAGAGTAGAAGGAGACGCCTCCCGACGACAGACTTTTGTAGAATCCTTATCCTCAGTTCTTCCACCTGTGCCTCCTGCTGTCCACAGTCTCCAAGCAAGATACAAATTCCGTGCTGTCTTTGTGCCTGTTAATTTCCACTACATCCTTATCCTCCGCACAGGATTCAGGCATCAACCCGAATTGTATTCCGTTAACCTTGCCGATGGTGACTGGTGAGTGACTGAAGGTAACTCTTTGTCAGGTTTATCAGGACTCTGCTGGGGTGTGAGGCTGTGGCGCTGTGTTGGGGACGGAGAGCTGGTGGGCGAGGGATGTCAGAGTTTGGGAAATGGGTGATACATTACTCATTTTCTGTACGGGCTCAGTCATTGCTAGGACCTAACTAAAACTTTCTATTGTGGGCTCAAACCTCCCAATGTCTTACAAAGCTCTTGGGCTCAAACATGGAGGTGTGCCAGAAGGGAGGATGGAGATAGGAGCCTGCAAGGGGGCATAGGAATGTATGGAAGACACAGAAAACAAAAAAGCAGGTGTTCTGCTGTAAGGGTCAAAAGGAAAGGGTTTATTTTGCTCTTGGGCTTTAAAATGTAATGTGCAGTAGTAAGAATAATCACCATCAGCACTGCCACCATAAAAGCACATAACTATATAGTGCTTTTATAACAGATACTGCTTGCTTCATATTAACTCATTTGATTCTTATAACAACTTTGTGAGGTAAGTATTATTATTGTCCTCATTTTTTCTGATGAGGAAACTAAGGCACAGGGTAACTAAGTAACTCGCCCATAATGAGGTTGGTATGGCTCTGTAATTAGGCAGTTATGCTCTTCTACCCAGTTATATGGCCTGGGACAAATACCCTAACCTCTCTGAGCCTCAGTTTCCATATGTGCAACATGAGAAAAATGTCTATCTTTTAAGGACATCAATGCTTCCTAAACCTATATGAGACTGAGTGGAGTTAACCAAGTTAAGTGGGGCGGGGGGTGGGTAGGTCGTTTCAGACAGAGGTGCAGGTCGTTTCACTAAGTGTGAAGGTCATGAGGTGTGACATGTTAACTAAAAGACCATCTGTGTGGCTGGAGCACAGAGGAAGGAAGTAGATTAAGAGTCATATAGTAGAGGGTCTTCTAGCCTTAATTTTAGAAATGATCCTGGATGTAATCGGAATCCTTTAAAGAGTTTTAAATATCCGAGTTATATTACCACACTTAGGATTTAGAAACCTTCACATGACTTTAGTAGGGAGACTGGTTTTGGGTAGAGATATGGGTTATGGGTGGGAAAGATCTGGAGAGAAATTTAAGAGACTGTTGCAACTCTCTGGGCAACAGAGTGGACTAGGATGGTGGCAGTGAGTCTGAAATAAAGGAAAAGGTTACCAGAGGTAATAGTGAGAGCAGTTGAATGTGAGGAATGAGGGGTAGGAGAACGTAAAGGCTGTTATCCAGATTTCTGGTTGGGTGAATGGTAGTACAATTTATGGAAATCAGGAACACTGGACAAGGAAGTATTTGGGGAAGGAGACAGGTTACTTTTTTGACTTCCTGAGTTGGAAGTACTTTTGAGCCATCAAATGGAGATGTCCACCTGAATATAAAGGTCAGGAACTCATGACCCGAGTCTGAGCTGGGATGCAGATTTTGGAATTTGGGAATCTTGACAGGATTTGAATTCATGGGAATGAGGAGAAAAGATTACTTGAGAAGAGTTTATGGAAATGTGTAAAAGACAGAACTATGAAGAATTCTAACTGCCTTTTTTTGTTTAAAATTCTTATTTTGAAATAATTATACATTTAGAGGAAGTTGCAAGAAATGTGTAGAGTACCACGTACCCTTCATCTGCTTTCCACCATGGTAACATCTTGCATAACTATGGCACGAAAAGATCGCAAACCATGAAACTGACATTGATACGATCCGGTTTATTCGGCCTTCCTCATTTTTACATGTGTGTGTATTTAAATCTATGCAACTTCACACGTGTAGGTCTATGCATCCATCACTACTACTTTGAAGACACAGAGCAGTCCATCACCGCAAAGTCCCTCCTGTTGCCCTTCTATGGACACACCATTACATTCTCCCTCCTCCACACCTCCCCCTTTCCCTAAGCCATGGCAACTACTAATGTGTTCTCCATTCCTGTAATGTTGTTGTTGCAAGAATGTTACAGAAATGGAATATACAGTATGGAATATATTTTAGGATTGGCTCTTTTCACTTAGCATAATTCCCTTGGGATTTGTCAAGTTGTGTGTATATCAATAGTTTATTCTTTTTATACTGTGATTCTGGGATATGGATGCACACTGGTTTGTTTAACCATTCACCTACCAAAGCACATTTGGGTAGTTTTCAGGTTTTGGCTTTTACAAATAAAGCTGCTACGTTTTTGTGTGATAGTAAGTTTTTGTTTGTCTGGGATACATGTCCAAGAATGCAATTTCTGGTGGAACGGTAATTGTATGTTTAGTTTTATACCATACTGCCAAATTGTTTTCCAGATTGGCTGTACCATTTTAGATTCCCACCAACAATATGTGAGTGAACTATTTTCTCTATTTCTCTGTCAGCCTTTAGTGTTGTCACCAAAGTTCATTATTTTTCATATTAGTCATTCTGTTAGGTATATAGTAATACCTTATTTAAATTTTAATGTTCATTTTCCTAGTGACTAATGATGTCAAATATCTTTTCATGTGCCTATTTACCATATGGATATTATTTTTAGTGAAGTGTTTGTTCTTGTCTTTTGCCTATTTTCTAATTAGATTGTTTGTTTTATTAACTGTTGAGTCTGAGAGTATGTATCCAGTCTAGATATAAGTCCTTTTGTCAGCTAGGAGGTCTGCACATATTTTTCCCAGACTATAACTTGTCTTTAAACTCTATTCAGAGAGTCTTTTATAAAGCAATTGTTTTTAATTTTGATGAGGTCCAATTTATCATTTGAGCCATAGGTTATTCAGAAGTCTGTTTAATTTCCATGTATTTTGGAATTTTCCAGTTATCTTTCTGTTATTCATTTCTAGTTTAATTCCATTGTGGCTTAAGATCAGAAATTGTGTGATTCCCTATTCTTTTAAGTTTGTTAAGGTGTGGTGTGTGGTCCAGAATGTGGTCTATCTTGGTGAATGTTCCATGTGAGCCTGAGAAGAATGTGTATTCTGTTGTTTTTACAAAAGCAGTCGATAACTGTCAATTACATCCAGTTGGTTGAAGGTGCTGTGGACTTAAATGATATCCTGACTAGTTTTCTGCCTTCTGGAACTGTCCATTCCTGATAGAGGGGTATTGAAGTCTCCAAGTAGGAGGATGGATTTATCTGTTCTTCTCTGTAGTTCTGTCAGCTTTTACCTCACATAATTTGATGCTCTGTGATTATGCACCTGCATACTAAGGATTGTTATGTCTTCTTGGATCACTGATCCCTTTATTATAATGTAATAATGCCTGTCTATCTCTGATAACTTACCTTGAAGTCTGTTCTGTTTGAAATTAAATATAGCTACTCCTGCTTTCTTTTGATTAGTGTTAGTGGGGTATATCTTTCTCCATCCATTTACTTTTGGTCTATATGTCTTTATATTTAAAGTGGGTTTAGGGGTGCCTGGCTGGCTCAGTCAGAGGAGCATGCAACTTGATCTTAGGGATGCCCCATGTTGGGTGTAGAGATTACTTAAATAAATAAAACTTAAAAAAAATTTAAAGTGGGTTTATTGTAGACAATGTATAGTTGGATCTTATATTTTGATTCATTCTAACAATCTCTGTGTTTTAATTGATGTATTTAAACCACTGACATTCATAGTGATTATTGATATAGTTGGATTAATATCCACCATATTTGCTATTGTTTTCTATTTGTTGTCTTATGTTCCTATTTTTGTCTTTCACTTTTTTTTTGGTCTGCCACTTGTGATTTTAATGGAGTATTTTATATTATTTTATTCTCTCTCCTTTCTTGGCATATCCATTATACTTCTTTTTTATGGGTATTAAAGAGGGCACGTTCTGCATGGAGCACTGGGTGTTATACGCAAGCAATGAATCATGGAACACTACATCAAAAACTAATGATGTAATGTATGGTGATTAACATAACATAATAAAAAAAAGAAAAAACAGAAAAAAATGTTTTTTATATGGTTGCCCTAGAGTTTGCAATATAAATTTACAATTAATCCTCGTCCACTTTCAAAAACACTATGTCAGTGCATGGATAGTATGAGTACCTTATGATAACAAAATAATTCTGATTTCTCTCCTTTCCCTTACATCATTGCTGTCATTCATTTCACTTGTATATGAGCATATACACATGTAAGCATACATCACTGAATACATTGCTATTTCTATTTTGAGCAAACTGTTGTTTATTATATCAATTAAGAATAAAAAATAAGTTTTTTATTTTCACTTATTCTCTTTGAAGCTGTTCCCTTCCTTATGAAAAACCGAATTTGTGACTTATATTATTTTCCTTCTCTTAAAGATCTTATTTAATATTTCTTACAAAGCAGGTCTACTGGCAGCAGATTCCCTCAATTTTTGTTTATCTGAGAAAGTTTTTATTTTTCCTTCACTTTTGAAGGATAATTTCACAGGGTACAGAATTCTCGGTTGGTGTTTTTTGTCTCTCAATACTTCAAATATTTTTCTGCACTTTCTTCTTGTTTGCATGGTTTCTGAGGAGAAGTTGGATGTAATTCTTATCTTTGTTCCTCCACAGGTAAGGTGTTTTTTTCTTGGGTTTCTTTCAGGACTGTTTTCTTTATCTTTGATTTTCGATCTTAAGTGATATGCCTTGGTGCAATTTTTTGGTTGTTGTTGTTGTTGGTGGTGGTGGGTTTTTTTTGTTTGTTTTGTTTTGTTTTGTTTTTTGCATTTATCCTGCTTAGTGCTCTCTGAGCTTCCTGGATCTGTATTTTGAAATATGTCATTTATTTTGAGGAAATTTTCAGTCTTACTGTTTCAAATATTTTTCCATTTCTTTCTCTCTTTCTTCTCCTTCTGACATTTCCTTTATGCATATGTTACACTTTTTTTTTTTAAGTTGTTCACAGTCCTTGGATATCCTATTTTGACTTTTTAAGTCTTTGTTCTCGCTCCCTCTCTCTTTCTCTCTTTCCTTTCTTTTTAGTTTTGGAGGTTTCTATTGATATATTTGTAAGCTCAAAGATTCTTTTCTCAGCGATGTCCAATCTACTAGTAAGCCCATCAAAGGCATTCTTCATTCTATGGACAGCCATATGCAGAAGAATAAAACTGGACTACTTTCTTACACCATACACAAAAATAAACTCAAAAGGGATGAAAAACCTAAATGTGAGACAGGAATCCGTCAAAATCCTAGAGGAGAACACAGGCAGCAACCTCTTTGACCTTGGCTGCAGCAACTTCTTGCTAGACACATCTCCCAAGGCAAGGGAAACAAAAGCAAAAATGAACTATTGGGACTTCGTCAGGATAAAAAGCTTTTGCACAGCAAAGGAAATAGTCAACAATACTAAAAGCAATCTATGGAATGGAAGAAGATATTTGTAAATGACTTGTCTGATAAAGGGTTAGTATCCAAAATCTATAAAGAACTTCTCAAACTCAACACCCAAAAAACCAAAAAATCCAGTCAAGAAATGGGCAGAAGACATGAACAGACATTTCTCCAAAGAACACATATAAATGGCTAACAGATGCATTAGGTTTTTTTGTTTTGTTTTGTTTTTGAACTATACTTATGATTGGTGCTTTGAAATCATTGTCAGCAATTCTGTCATCTTAGTCATATAAGTCATATAACTTAGTCATAAGTTTTTTCTCATTCAGGTTGTGATTTTCTTGGTTCTTGGTATGATGGATGACCCTCGATTTTCCTAGTTTGGGTATTACACTATGAAACTCCAGGTCCTATTTAATCTTCTTTTTTAGCAGGCAGTTACCTCCATTCAGGTGTAGTGTTGCAGGTCTTGGTGAAGGTCAGTGTTTAGCCTCTTTCTGAACCTACTTATACCATTGCCAGCAGAAGTGGAGTGCTGCCTCATTACCTCATTGAATATGGGTGGGATAGAAGTTAGCCTTCCCCCTCAGGTACTTGACATCTTTTGGGTGGAAGTGGAGCTCTGTCACATATCACTTATTGCCACTAAATAGGGGTGGAAGCTTAGCTCCCTGTTGGGCTCTGCTCACACCAAGAAGGGGTGAAGTGAATTGAAGTTTTGCATTTACCAGAACATTTCCATGTTGAAGGGTGGGTATTGAAACTCACCTCCCTACTGTGCTCCATTTATCAGGGGATGGAGGAAACAATGTTCTGAGTAGCTCTGCCTTACATAGTCTTGTTCAATTTAGTTGTCAAATGATGCTGAAAACTTGGCAACCTGCTGAGTCCTGGGGACATAGGGCCATGTGTGGTGGAGGGAAGGAAACAGAGTACTCTTAGCTTTGCCTCAGACTGCCTCCATTAGCCTCCTGGCCACTGTGCAGAGGCTCAGCTTTCCCCAGGGTCCCATTCATACTACCCTGGTTGAGGAATTGGAGTATTGCCTGCTTCCACTGGGAGTGAGGGTGGAATATTAGTCCCCTACTCAGCCTTGGTGAAACCATGGCAGATGGGCATTTTTCCACCGTTGTTTGATTAGAGTAGGGTGGGTGTTGTCAAAAAGAGTTCCTTTGTGTTAGACCACTCATTCCCCTTGCCTTTGGCTAGGGGGAGCAGGTTTTTCTTGGAGTTTTAAAATTTGTTTTGTTTTTGTTTTTTGTCTTTGCTTTTTGGTGATTCTGGATTATAGGCTACTCTGCTCCAGTGCCCTATCTTGGATCTATGAGATGTAAGGAGAATACCCAGGGAAGTTAGTATTATGTTGTTCCTTAAGTCCCCAGGTTCCTTAGGCAGTCCACTTTCTTCTTTCCATTATTCAGAGTCTTCCTATGCTTGTTGTGTTTGTTGTGTGGGGTTTTTAGTTATAAAAGTGAAGAGCTGGGAGGGGGGAATGTGGCTACTCCTTCTCGGATCAAATGTAAAATTGAGGTCTAATGCTTTAGGGTCTGCTACAAGATGAGAGCCTGGTAATGTACCTTATAAGGCAGGAGAAATTAAAAATGTAATTTATACCAGTCAGAGGAGTCTGTTTCTAGGAGGAGGAAGTTGTTAATGTGTTCTATGCCTGTGACAAATTAAGGAAGTTAAAACTGCAGACACAGTGAAGGCAGGTAGTTGCATTAATACGGAGTTAAAATTTGCCCAGTTAAAGTATAACTCAAGGACATTAGGACAAGGGATCTCTAAGGAGTAATAAGAACATAATTAAAATGATGAATAAACGAATCTAACTCAGGTAGAGAGAGAAGGTAAAACAGGCAGGGACTGACTGGACGCAGGGGTAAGGACGCAATGTGTCAGTTTCTAATGAGTTCTTAGAATCAGTGACTGTAAAGCTGGTCAAAAGTGAGTTAGGGCATCAGGGCTTTGGTGGAAAGCAATCTGAGCATTTTTAGAGTAAATGACCAATATTTAGTTGGGGCCTCAGCCTGGCATATAACTCAGTTTTGATTAGGAGAAACCTGTTCCTCAGCTTCCCTTGGAAGTCCCAGTGGCTTGAAGGAACTCTGTCTTGTTGCTGCAGGTAAGATGGAGCTAGTAGTAGTGCAGACTTAAAGCTAACGAGAGATGGTCTGGAGTCAGGAATAGATCATGGGATTAAATAAGACTTAATTTATGCACTGGATTATTTTAGAGTAAGAAGGAATGTGGAGATTATCTGTGTTCTCAACTTTTTTGAGCATGAGAACCTCTTTTAGTCTTAAAATATTTTGACTCTTTGAATGATATTTATTGATAGAATACTTATATAATGACAAAAAGATGAATTAACGACCTTTGTTAAAGCAATGTGTATCTTATTAAAATACTGTTTACCCGGATTTCCCCTGTCAGCTTTACCTTTGAAGTAGATCTGCTGTCCATCCACCCACTTATGTGCTCTTCATCTCCACCGCTGCCACTCTAGTGCAAGTCACATCACTACTACAGTAAGCCTAACTGTTTCTTCTCTTGCCCTTTTCCAATCCATTTCTTTTTTTTCTTAAGATTATTTATTTATGAGAGAGAGAGAGCGCACGTGAGAGCAAGCATGAGCAGGGGGAGGGGCAGAGGGAAAGGGAGAAGCAGACTACCTGCCGAGCAGGGAGCCCAATGCAGGGCTGGATCCAAGGATCCTGAGACCATGACCTGAACTGAAGGCAGACTGAGCCACCCAGGCACCCCTCGAGTCCATTTTTAATCAAAATCCAGTGATGTTTTTAAAAAAATAATTAGAGCACATAACTTTTATATATTCAAATTCTTTAATAGATTTTTATTATGCTCAGAATACAATCCAAACTCCTGAGCATGGCTTTCAAGCCCTGCTTGATGAGCTCCCTGCCTCCTGCCAAGGCTCATTGTGGGCCAGTCTTTTACTCAGCCTCTATGCTTCAGTCTCCTTGGCTTTCTTCAGATTCCTGAACATTCCTAGTCCTAACTCCTCTTTGAGCCTTTGTACATGCAGTTCCTCTCCTGAAAATCTCTTTCTTCTGCTCTTCCCATGGCTGGTTTTTCTCATCTTTCTGTCTCAGATTACCTGTCATTTACCTAGCAAGTACTTCTTTGCACACCCAAACTAAATTAGATTCTTCATTTACTCTTTCTTATTATGCTTTCTCATGGAACACTGTTACTTTCTCATCACAATTTATAACTATCCATTTATGTACTTATTTGCTTGTTGTCTATCTCCCTCATTTCATGGAGGCAAAATCTACTTCTATCTTGGATACCTTTTTATATTTAACATCCAATATATTGCCTGGCATATAGCAAGTATTCAGGAAATACTTTTTTTTTTTTTT